TTTCATCCAGTTTTTGGAATCAGTAGCGGGCTATCTTTACAATACCAGCTTTGCAATTTGTCCTCTTCCATTTTCTTGATCAGTTTGTAGAAGAAGAAATTAGCTGTTGATGATTTAGCAAATTTGATTTTAAAAATACAGCATGAAGCCATCTGGGGTATAGGGGCAGGAAAGATCTTTTATTCCTATTTCAGTTATTTTTATTTTATTTATTTATTTTTTTATCATCCTCACCCGAGGACATTTTTCCATTTTTTGTTCAGACAGAGCGGGAGGGAGAGAGAGGAAGAGAGAGAGAGAGAAACATCGATGTGAAGGGACACATCGAGTGGCTGCCACCCGCACAACCGACCAGGGCCGGGGACAAACTGCAACCGAGGTACGTGCCCTTAGCGGGAACTGAACCCGGGTCTCTCCGGACCGCAGGCCGATGCTCTAACCGCTGAGCCAAACCGGCCAGGGCTCCTATTTCAGTTATTTAACACATATTGGATGACTCAAATTTTCAATACCCTATTTCACCATTTTTAGCATTTTGTATCTTCCCAGAAGTGTACGGACTCCACACACCGTTTTATAACACCTGTTTGCTTAATTCCGTATTTCCCTGGCCAAGAAGTATAGATTTATGGTACAAGGGGTGGGGGACCTTTATTCTGCCAAGGGCCATTTGGATATTGATAACATCATTCGCGGGCCATACAAAATTATCAGCTTAAAAATTCGCCCGCTCTGTGTGGTCAGGCGTGGGATGTGAGCTGATGTCACAGGCCCTGCACGGCCCGCGGGCGGCTCGTTCCCCACCCCGCCCGCGGTCCTTTGCCGCGGCTCTATATGTGTATGTTTGCACCAGTCCCTCTGTGTGGACGGTTTTCAGCTCTTCTGTTGTAAACAGTGTAACTGGTGCTTGGGTCTCATCTCTGTTGGCTCAGGAATCGGGCTTGGAAATTGGGGCCGGGCTGGCCGGGCAGGTCTCTGCAGTGTCTACGGCGTCACCGATGAAGCTGGGAGCTTGGCTGGGCTGCAATGCCCACGGTGGCACTCACCCCGGGGCTGGCTTGGTTTCTTCACAGACTTGACCTCCCTCCTCCACGGCCTCTGCCTTCCTCCCCTTCCAGGGGTCTGTGGCTTCAGCAGAGTCATCAGATTTCTTGATCCAGGTGCCGCCTTCCCAGAGAGAGCTGCTAAGCTCCTTTCATTCTAGCCCTGGACATGGCGGGTTCTCCCTTCCGCTGGTCCCTTATGGTCAGCCCAGACCTCAGAGGCGGGACAAAGGACAGGACAGCGACTTGTCGTCGAGTTGCATGCGGTGCAGTGATGGGAGGGATTGTCAGGGGTCCCGTGTGCGGAGGCTCCGCAGCTGTGCACATGTGGACACACTTGTCTGGGGAACTGTGCAGTCCAGCGACCATCCTCTGAATGGACGTATGGTCTCGACTGGCGGACCTTTGGAAGTCACACGACAACTGGGACCAAGGCCGGTCAAGTCCCCAGAGCTCCCTGCAGTCTCTCAGGGAACGGGTACCAACCGCTACCTGACTTGTCATCACTGCAGAGGTGCCCCGGGAGCCCCGACGGGTTTTCCCAGGCTGGTCTTCACGTGGCTCTCGCCGGTCACTGAAGAAGGTGGCGTTACCCTCACTTCACGGAGGAGGGAGTCGAGGCTCGAGATCTCGCTGGCTTGACCTCCTCGCCTTCTCCGTGCCCTGCCACCTCAGGCTCCTCCCCGCGAGGATGTCCTCTGCCCCGTGCAGCAAGACAGTAACATGCACCGTGCGGACCCAACAGCTGCCTGTGTCTCTTGTCCCCATCGAGAGGGTGAGTTAAGGTGGGTCGGGCTTCAGCGCTCGAGTGTGAGATCACTTGCACAGCCACCGTGTGGGCAGTGGCTTCACCTCTGAACCTCACTCTGCTCATTTGTGAAATGGGAACAATGATCGTACTGTTGGGAGATTCGGAGAACTGGGGCGAGGAAAGCCCCTGAGATTTCAGCGGCGGGGAGAGTGACAGGTGCGTCTGGTTTCCCCGGGGCCCTCGGCCCAGCCTTTCCCACCTCTGCGCTCACCTGGGCTGGCCGGGGAAGCCAGAGTGTTCAAGGTAAATAAATAGGTCACAAAGGGCTCGTTCAGTCCGCCTGGTTGTGAGAACCATTGTGCTCCAGGGAGATGCTCCGGGTGGCAGCCAGAAACCCCGCTCTGCACCTGTGGGACTTGGCTGCTAGCAGTTCCTGCCGGGTGTGTTCCCACGGGCCGGCCTCACGCCCGGGCCTTCGGTCTGGAAGCAGGGCCCGTGTTCACATCTCTCCCACCTCAGGCTCCTCGTCCCGGGGCCTCGCACGGGGCTGGCTCTTCCCAGCGTGTCTGGAACAAAGTGCAAACTGTGGCTTGGAGGAGCGTCCGCGGTGACTCACGGTGAGTCAGCTGGCGCGGACATCTGCCCGGGCCCGGCCTGAGCGAGAGAATGCTCAGTATCGTTTGGCAAGGCCGCCGCCCATCAAAGGCCTGATTCCATTCCTCAAGTTACTGTGTGTTGTTCTACTGCCCGTAAGGGCTCATCCGGATCGCTGGTCACATTTTCCTACGAGTAACGATTTCCCACCACAGTCCCCGCCCAGGTCTGCGACTTCTGTGCCGTGGCGTGGATGACCCTCCGGGGGCCCCGGGGCCTGACTCAGGCAGGGAGTTGTTTCTGTTCGGAGCGGTGCTCCTCTCCCCTCGCGCTGCGGAGGGCAGCTGCCGGCTGGAGATGAAGGCGGCGGGGAGTTCTCGGCCGCAGGTTCAAGTCCGCGTGGACACTGTCCGAGCCATTCTGCAGCGGCCTCCGGGGGCGGTGGGAGGAGCGTGGACGGGTCGTGGGAGAGCCTGTCACTGTTTTATTCAGTGACTTCGGGTCTTCCGAACCCTGGGTCTCTTAAAAGACCCCCTGCTCCTGTGCTCTGCGGGAAACATGGGGGTCTCAGACCACAGCACTCGGGCCGGCTGGGGGCAATGTGCTCTCTTACCCTGTGGCTGCGTCCTGTCGCTGAGGGAGCAGAAGTCGGGTTCCGTCCAGTAGGTCCCAGTCCATATACTGTGCATCGCGTGAGCCAGCGTTTTCTGAATTGGGTTCTGGAAGTTGATGAGTATCACTTAAAGAGGGGAATATGGGGAGCGTCTGTGGGGAGAGCCCCTGTTCCCATCGAATGGTCTTGGTGATGCCATCCATCACTGGCGTGCCCTGCCCTCCCCTGGCCAAGGGCTGGGCATGGGCTCGATGGGGCCAACCAGGCCGTCTGCCCCAGACCTTTGGATGGAGAGATGCAGAGGGAAATACAGCTCATGTCCATTCCTTCGGCCACTGTGCTGAGACAGCCCGCCTCCCACACCGGCCTTGGCTCCCGTCTGTTTCAGAGCCGGTTCTCCATCCCCACGTAGCCTTCTCTGAGTGACCTGTCACATTTCCAGTGGGTCCGAGCTGAAGCAAAGCTGAGACCCTGGCAGACACCACTGGTCCTGTTCCCGTGTGCCTTCCCACTAGTCTTGTACGTGTCAGCGTGCTTAGTGGATGTCCCCCGTGTTCTGCCTGCAACAGCGTCACCACCCGGCCAACCTCACACACTCGGAGATCTCCAGGCCACACAGGAGAAGCTCAACTCAGAAGGCAGAGTTGGGGGCGGGGCCTGTAGGAGACACGTGCCTCATTTAAAGGGGGTACCTGCTCCGCAGCGCCAGCCGGCGGCTTAGGGGTTATGTGACAAGGAGTGGTTTCCCAGATGCCCTAAAATGACAACTACACCTGAGCCCAGGTGGTGTCCGGAAGCACCGTCTTCATGTGTGGTCCCAAACGTGGGCTTACCGGCAGCCTGTGTGGGTTCCCATCCTGCCTCGACTGTCCCGGCAGTGCACCCCGGGGAAAGCTTGGCGCCTCTGAGCCTTGGTTCTTCTGTCTGCGCAGTGGCACAGGTAATGTTGTCCAGCTCCCGTAGTTACTGTATGACGCTGGTCAGGTGTCCCACCTGGGCCTGGCACATGGCGGGTGCTCAGTAGAGAGCTGTTCCCTCTGATGTCTTTATGTGTGAGCAGAGAAAATCCACCGTAATTTCCAGGAAAATGAGGTCACTCCAGGTGAGCTAGAGGTTGCCAATAGCAGGAGCTACGGGTATTGTTTCTCATTGTGCCCCAGCCCCTGGCATAGCGTAGGGGCTCAGATATTTTAACTGAGTCTCAAAAGACTCAAAATATCGAAACGTTGACTCCTCAGTGTTAACAAGAGACATTATGATACTTTATATACTAGAACTCTGCCACCTAGGAATGTAAAATCCCTCTACTCATCCATCCATCAATCCATCTGCCATCCATCTCTCCATCCACTTATCCATCCTGCATCCTGTACAAGGTCAGTTGTGGTCTTACCTGTTCTGCGACTGGAACATGGGAGGAAGAGAGAATGAAGGGGCTTAACTATAGACGTTCACCTCCTAACACCTGGTGGGCTCGTGAAGAAGTAGAGTAGCCTGGAAACGAAGTGTTTGGGCTCGAGCCCCACCTTGGCACCGTCCCAGCCGAATGGCCTGGGGCAAGTCACGGTTTGACGTGCGAGCAGCGGAGAGGATGCTACCCCTGCCACCTATGGTTGTGAGACCCGAGGGAGAGCATGTGTGCAGAACGCTTGGGACAGTGCCCGGCAGTGGGGGTGGCCCAGCAGATGTGAAGGGCTGCTCCCCGAGATGTCCAGCAACGCGGAGGCGGTACCATTCCTGCCGGCTCCGTGCCCTGGCAATCCCGCTAACAAACCGAGGGCGAGCTTGCCTCCTCGCGGTGCCCGTCTCCTGTGTGTGCCCACAGTCCCTTTCCCGACCCAGCTACTCAAGGGTCTCGACGTCTGGATGTTGGTCCGATACGCCCTCTTTTGGGGACCAGCAGACCCCCTCCCACTGCTGTCCCCTACATGGGCCTCGCTCCATCCGTGTCTGGTTGGACCACAGGGTGACTGAGCCTGCACCTCCTTCTTTCCTGCAGGGAGTCGGACTTGTTCCTGCTCGACAGCCGCACCCTCTGGGCGTCGGAGGAGGGCTGGCTGGTGTTTGACATCACGGCCACCAGCAACCACTGGGTGGTCAACCCACGGCACAACCTGGGTCTGCAGCTCTCCGTGGAGACCCTGGATGGTAAGTCCCACCCGCCTCCCAGGCGGTGTTGATGCAGCCTGCACTCCTGGACCTCTGTGGGGTGTCCATCCCCGGCAGGCTTCCCCGGCCTCCGCCCCACCCCGTCCTCAGTGTGCAGCCTCACGCTAGCCCCCTGCGCGAGACCGTGACGCGCTGGCTGCTGCCGTGCCGGGTGAGGCCTCGGCTCTGAGTGGTCCCGCAGCCGCAGGGGCGGAAGTGCCGACTCTGGCCCATCCCAGGGCAGCTCCACGCAGCCTACCCTTTAGCAAGAGCCCCGGGGCCGGCTGCGCGCATCCTGGGCTGTCCTGGGCACGGGAGGATGTTGAACACACGGCCTCTACCCACCCCATGCCCGGAGCCTCTCCCAGGTGTAGCATCCAAGAATGTCTCCAGACATTTTCAAATGTCCCCTGTAGGGCACGGTTACTCCTGGTTAAGGACCACTGCCCTGGTCGGTGCAAGGCATTAACCCTCTTCCAAGAAACCCTAGATGTGGTTCCAAGTCTCAAACACCTGGAGAATCAGGTTCACCTCCCCTTCCCTCAGCACCTCCCGCCCCTCCACCAGAGCACATGCCCTGGATGAGAGCTGTCATCATTGTTGTGGCTGTTGTTATCATCGCTCCCAAAAGTGACTTACCCGGCCCCCTCGGAAGCCTGGGTGTCTTCTGGTCTTCTGCTCCTACGCACAGGGCGGCGGTGGAGAACCTCAGTGTCCGCGTCCGCGTCCCCTCGGGTGACTGGAGCGCTCGGGCGCATGCCTGGCAGGGACACTGCCCTCCAGCGGGGTCACTGCATCGGCCTCCACAGCAGTTCATGAGGGCACCTGTCTCCCGTCTTTGTCAGCACAGGTCTCAAACCCGTGCATCCGCTCACCCGCCAGGTGCCCATGGGTCCCGCAGCCTGGCTTGTCCTTCCTGCTGTGCGTGAGGCCGAGCCCTTTCTCACGCGTGCCTGTGTGCCGTCCGTTCCTGCCTCTGCCCTCTGCCCTCTGCCCTCTGCCCTCGTCAGGTGTTGATCTTCTTTAGATTTTAGAGACATTTGGCCCTGTGTGGTTTGAGCTGCAAATAGTTTCCCAGTCTGTGGTTGTTCTTTTTCACTGTGGTTAAAGCGGGGTTCTGCCAGGTGGACTTAGACAGTGTAGCTGAACTTGATAGCCGCTTCCTCTGTTGCTCCTGGGCTTGGCCTCTTTCTCGTTCCCTCGGAGGGCCCGGATCTGCCCCTTGGCCTGAGCCCCAGGGGACCAGAACTGCCCGCCTCAGGCCCTGAGCCCCCTGGGACGGGCCGCAGACTCGAGGAGCACGCTTGTCTTGTTTCTAGCCAGCCTCCCTTCTGCGGATAGCCCCCCATCTTTCCTGCCCTCCTTGCCCTGTCCACACCCCTGACACCTGAAGGCGGGCTGGCTTATCCACCCTTTTGCGTTGGCTCAGCAAACTGTCCGGTGGGCCGGGTTCGCCTGGCAGCCGCCTTCGTGTGGCCTGGGAGCTCAGAATAGTTTTCACATTTTTAAATGGTCGAGAAAAATCAAAAGAAGGCTATTTGGTGACGCGTAAAATTATATGAAACTTCCACTTCCGTGTCCATAAATAAAGTCTTACGAGCACACAGTCACGCTCGTTGCTTTCTGTTCGTCCCGGATCCCTTCCGTGCTGTGACAGCAGAGTTATTATAACAGGGACTCTGAACATGTTTGTTATTTTCAGGAATCTTCCTTATGGAAAGAGTTTCCGACCCCTGCCGGGGATCACAGTCAGTTGAGAAACACTAGGTTGGACAAATGAAACAGATTTCCCTGCAAACCTTATCAGAGCTTTTATTTTGCTGATGTCCATTGTGAATCTCCTGATGGGGACCAGAGCACAGAGGAATTCCAGACTTTTTTGGCAATAGAATCATTCAGCTTTTCTTCTCCCTTGGAGGCCCGTGTGGGACTTACTGGGGACGAGGTAAAAGCGAGGCGAAGGTAGACGCGGTTTCCCTCCAGGGCGACCATTTCCCTGGACTTGTAGACACTGGCAAGACCTTCCCGCTGGCCCCAGGGGGTCCTGTGCTTCCGGGTTTGGTTTTCCTCTTACGTGACGCTCCGTTCAGTTCCCCTAGGGTCAGGTTTGCCATTGTCTTTCGCCCCCAAAGTCAGGGTCTTTGTGGCCCTGAGGCCGTGGATAAAGCTCAGCACTTACGAGATGGTCCGAGTGCGGGCTGTCAGAGCCGGTCAGACTCCCCAGGTTCGAATCCAGCAGGGTGAGTCACTCCACAGCCCTCATCTGGAAAGTGGGTTCCTAACAGCTTCCCCTCCCAGGTGGTTGCCACGGAGCAGGTGAGCTCAGGCGGTGAAGAGCTCACAGCTCAGCTGTGGTAGCGCCCCCTAGCGCCTCCGCTCAGCACAAAGGAAGTGCGTCGTGACGTTGTCTCCTGTAACCCTCCCGTTCCCCAGAGCCAGACTCTGCGTGACGTCCCGGGCACTGGCAAGGAGGCAGACGCCCCTGAGAGGTGGGGGCTCCACATTCCCCAGCCTGGGACCCTCCCCATCCACGGGGAGTGTAGCTTAGTGGTCACACGCCGCCGCCTGGAGTCAGGGCAAAGATTAGACGCTGTACCCCTGCCTTGGTGCCCGTCTCCTCCCCTCCAGATGGGCGGGGGGTGGGGGGTGGGCGTGGGTGCCACTGCCCTGGGACTCAGCCTGTCCAGGCGCTGTGCCTGCTGTTTGGTGTGGTTGCCCGGGTCCGGGGAGGGGCGAAGTTTACCACTGGCCAGTTTGGCCCATTACGCGTGTGCCTTTTGGACCTTTGGGAGTGGGATAAGAGCAGGTGAGCCCAGCATCTCGCACCACAGGCTCCCGGCCGTGGAGTCCGCCCAGCACCGTGCTCGTCCCCGGGAGGCACGGGGAACAGATTCCTGGGCTCCACCCTAGACCCCTGGCGGCCAGTGCCTGAGGGTGGGCCTGGAACTCGGCCTTTTCTCACCAGCTCCTTGGGTAACTTGGGGCTGGATCGGTGGTAACACTCTAGCTAAGTTGCGCCCTGTGTTTTGGGGCACCCCATTAACAAGATAGTACCCAACTGATTGGCCTCCTTCAAGGTCTGGGCCTCAGCCTTTTCATGTTATATGTCTGCACCGGTGAAGGACCAGCAGGGCCTGCTGGGGGGCCCGTGGATTCTGGGGTTCATTTGCTGGGCAGCCTGGTGCCTCCGTGCGGTGTGCCAGCCTAAGCTACCCGTAGGGACAGCCTGGTCCCTGCCCTGGGCCTCCCCCAGGGGCACCGCTGCCTCGGGCAGCACCTGGGTAAGCCGGGTCCCTGGTGCACGTCAGGGAGGGGAGGAGACGGGCACCGAGTCCGGGGGTAGCATGTGGCCCTTGTCCAGGCCTAGACAGCATCTGGCAGCCACTAGGCAGCCGCCAGACTAGGGAGCCCCGTCACCCGCCGGGGTGTCGGCCTCCTCACCCACACACGGGGCGTGTTGGTAGCAGGGACGCAGTGAGCTTGCCTCCGTCCTAAGGAGGCACAGGCATCACAGACCTTCGCTCAGAAGCTTTGTGTGGTACGAGGTGAGCGCCCTGCCCACCTGGCCTCCAAATGCTGCCGGAGACCACCCAGGCAGCCTGTGTTCCCTCTTCCTCTAGCTGCAGCCCTCGCGAGTCACCCCTGGGGGCGGCACAGCTCGGCCCGCTCATGGGGCTGCCTGGGCGGGGAGAAGCCCACACACTCCGGGCACCTGGGCTCCTCGGCAGCCACTGGGAGCATCCTCTCATCTGCACGGGATGCCGGGAGGAGGGCTGGTGTCTGCTGGCCTCTCCCTGTTTGAGAAGAGAGGAGGAGAGGCAGCCCCTCCCTGTCCCCAGCACACAGGCTGCTCCCCAACAGGGGTGTGGGGGGAGGAGCGGAGGAGGGGCCCCTGATCGGAGGGATCCTCACACCTTGTGGCCCCGCTGGAGCCCCTGAGAAGGCAGCGGGCTGGGCAGAGCCAGGCCCGGGCCAGGCTCCGGTGCAGGAGCAGAACCGGGACAGCCTGGTGTCTCCCGCACCGACTGAGGCTCCTCCAGACAGCCCCACGGCATCTTGGGCAGCTGGTCCAGCCCCCTGGTGCCTCAGCCCTTCATCTGTTCCACGGGCTTAGTAATGGCTGGGAGGAAGACAGGAGTGAATTCATGCAAATGCTGAGCCCTGGGCTGGGCACCCTGTCTGTGCTCGCGAGTGTCAGATACTGTTTCTGTTGCTGTTGTCGAAATGCTTCGTTCTCACAGTGACCCTGCCCAGGTTACTGCAGCCAGCACCTTACGGGAGAGGAACCGAGGCCCTCCACTCTCCGTGCCCTGGGTGTCCCCGTGGCCTCTGACTCGCTCTTGGCTGGAAAGCCTTCTGAGGATGTGGTCACCAGGGACCAGATTCGGGGACCCTGTGTGGTTAACGAGCCCCAGCAGGGGACACGGCTGGGCCCCAGCGGCCTGGCCCCTGCCTGGCCGTTCTCGTCACATCCCCTTTCCTGGGAAGGAGAGTTGGGAAAGTGGGCTCCCCGTCGGACTGGCTGAGGGAGCCTGTGACACAGGTGGCCAGGGCTACATCTGACTTTCGTGGGCTCCTTCCATAAAAAGTATTAAAAATTATGTTTTATGACCGTGTTGGTATAAAGACAAATATAATCCTGGCTGGATTAAAAATTACAACATTTTCTCTAACCCTAAAAAGTTCATGTTTTGCCTTCTGATTTTAAGAGACATTAAAATGTCTACACGGGCCCCTGAAAGTGTCGTGGGCCCGGGCACTGTGCCTGCAGGACAAGTCGGCCCTGGGCCCTGCGTCCCAGGCCAGGGAGGGTACTGAGCCGTCCCCATCCCTGCCTCTTCTGACCGGCTTCCTACAGACCCCAGCCCTTCGCCTGCGTGGGAAGCCATCTGCCCACTGAGCAAACACCTGCTGGTACCTACGACGTGCCAGGCCCGGTCACAGGCCTGGGCTCCGGCCTGGGCGGGACAAGCCTGTCGTTGCTGTTGCTCACGTTCTCC